TAGTCAAACACTTTGTTTTCTACTTAATACAAAACAAAGCAATTTAGCTCCAATTAATTTTATTAACATGGAATCAACCGGTTTTTCTTTTCATTTTTATTTTTACCACCATAAACATTTCTTTCACCACTGTTGCAACCGAATCAGAACACGATTATTCCTCTCCATATTTTCTTCATCATTCAGATAGTCTTGACTCTCTCCAACCTTTCACCGGTGACAAGTGTCCAATCTGGAGGCATGCTCTTTGCATGGCTCTCGAAGCCACAAACAAACTTGCATACGTATATGGCAATGTCTATAAACCCGATGAAAATTCTAAAGATCTACTCCAATTAAAACGTTGTAACAATATAGTCACCTCTTGGTTACTTGACGTGGTTTCCAAAAATATTGCTACAAGCATTACTTTTACATATCTTTTGCACATGAGATTTAACTTGATCTTTGTGGTCACTTATTTAGAAAAAAAAAAGAAAAAAAACCAACACCTGGAATATTTGGGATTCGTCATAATATTTCTCTCTCGTGATCAGAATCATAATTTTGTTGTTGCCTACCAAACTATTCTTAATGGTTTAAGGGATGAGCGGTCTCTATTGCTCTCTTCCAACTTGCACTTGTGGTGCCCTTAAAAGATTTAAACGAATTACAAGAGATTGATCATTTGATGATACAATTACTAATGGGTTTGAATGACTCCTACCACACGGGTCAAATTCAAATTCTTTTGATCAAACCCCTTCCCTCCATGACGAGTGCTTACTCTTTCCTTCTTCAAGATGAACGTCAACGTAGTCTTCATTCTTTGTCCACCATTAATCAAGCTGCCATGGATGCTTCTCAAGTCGCTACCTCTTCACACATCTCCAATTGCTTTCAAGGTAGAAAGCCATTCCATCATTGTGATTTTTGTGGCCTTGATGTCATTCTTAGTCTCTTAGAATTCTAATAATGATATTTATCTTATGAATATGGAGCTATATCAATAGAGGTCAAGGAAACACAGAGGGGAGAAAAATACTTTATGGGGAAGAAGATTATTTGTCTTATAATAAAAACAACAACTAAAAGAACCTTTTATATCAAGGCTCTTGCGAGGAAGAGAAAACATTTTCATATGGTGTAGTAGCACTCACTCTTCAACGCAATAACAAACCAAAGGTCTCTTTACATAAGGAATTTTTGCAATCCCAATCCACTAATAGATTGTCAAAACTAATAGAAAATAACAAGAAAAAAAGTAAATAGTAGTACATGTTGTTAGGAATTTTGAGAATATGGTGTCTTAGAAAGTAAGTATATTCTCATGCTTAATTTCATTAAATTTATTTATAATGAAAATACATTTTGATAATAAGACGAAGAGTTTGTTTTAAGTAAATATTCATTACCTAGTTATTACGGTGCCATGATTCTATTGAGATATGAAAATACATTTGTATGAAAAATCATACATAGGAGACATGTATTTTAATTGAATATAAAAAATTAGTCACAGTCATATAATAAAGTTGGTCACTTTATTGTATTAAGGTTGTAGTATTCAAATTACTTCCAATGAAAAGAATGTGATTTATTTCAAGAGAATGATAAGTCTCAAATCATCGAAATGGTTGATTTCGAGTAATGACACTATAACATGAACTAGAATCATGTGAGAATCAAATTGAAGTTTAACCGTTAGTTAAATCTTGATCTCAAACTTATGCATTTATTTATAGTAGAACCGAAATCCTGATAGATAGTAGACTCGTATTTAATCTCCTTATAATCTTTTATTCACCATGAACATGATCTTCATAAAGTGTTGATCTAGTCTTCGTATTTTGATATTATAATCGAGATGAACATTTGAAAACATATATCCAAATAATGAAGGTCATAACATTAATATCACTTCTAGTGATTTCAGGAATATTGGTAATAAATCTAGGTACAGTGGATTGATGAATTAGTTGTTCATCACATCTAGATACTCAAAAGATTAGATCTAGAGTATTGAATTACTAATTAGATGAAATTTGAAACTAGGGGACAATATTGACATAAAGGGTAAAATGATAATTTCACTTTTTATCATTAGATGGTTATGAAGGTTCACACTATCAGGTTTGCAATTGGACAACTAACAATTAATATTAAGTATTGAATTGTTTCTTATAATTATAGTTAATCTAAGAGTGCAACTACGAATGTATGATGCAGTGATTTCATGGTTAATAACCATGAATTATTTTTTAATAACTTAAAAATAACTCTAAATTTATTAAAGCTTAGAATGTCTATGTCCAAATAGATTCCCCACTTAGCTTCATAGAATTCAACTTTTTTAGGTTGGAATGCATGCTTTATTTGATTAATTAAATTGTGTACAAAAATGACAACTTTAACATATTTGTCCTAATTTAAATAAAAAAATATGTTTGGTCTTAATTTAGACAAGAAAATATGTTTGTCTTAATTTAAGACAAGAAAAATATTTTTTGTCTTAATCTAGATAAAAAAATATATTATCTCAATTTAGACAAGATAAAATATTTTTATCTTAATTAAAGACAAGAGTTGTCTTAAATTAAGTAATGCTAAAAGGATTCTTGCAAAATGAATCTAGACATCCATGTTGATAAAAGAAGACTCCATATTTGACTATCACTCTTTGATTTATTTTTAATTCTTTTTAAACAAAGATGGATAATAATAAAATAAGAGTTATTATTTAATAATGAGTTTTATTTAATCAAGAACTTAAAATGATAATTAAAAACTAAAATTATTTATTTTTTAATTTTAATTTTGATAATTATGGAGCATATTTGATGCTTCTATAACTCTAAATGGATAGTTAAGATCGATTCAAATGTGTTTGATTTTGATTAAATCTTTGAAGCATGAGTTTTAATAAAAAGAGAAGAGATTGGAAGAAAAGAAACGAATATACTTTTTCTTGAAAAAGTTTCAACCGTCACTTCTCTCCTCTTCCTCCAAAAACCTTTGCAGTATCTTTCTTCTTTCTCCCATTCTTAGCTGAATTTTATGAAAAAAAATAACCATTAATTTTTAGGAAGAAAATAGAGACAAAATTTATTGCTATCTTATAGTCTAACATTCCACGCCTTGTCCACTCAAGATTCAGGTTGAAAATGTTTTTGAAGAATAAGTGGTAAACTTGTTTGATCGAGAAATCATTCATTAGTATAGTGGTATTCGAAAATAAGAATCTTAAAATAAAATGTATATTTTTTTCACTTAATAGATTCTTATTTTTTTAAGATGTGATTATGTTTCTTGTAATAAGAATGATGTGTGTTTCCACTTGTGTAATTGGATTGTTTGCTTCTTTTATAAAAGAATTTTTTGAAATCCATGTTTTACACAATCATATTAGTCCACTAAGATCCTACTCCAACACATGTAATACAGGCATTAAACGTTAAAATTGTAATAAACTACACAACATGGCTTCATGATGTTACACACCATGGCTCCAAGATGTTACATGCCAAAGCTATTGGTTGTTACACACCATGGTTGTAGGATCTTACACACCATGGTTGCAACAAGCTTCCATCTTCAACACACCTCCTTGAAGCTTGAATTGTAGACTCCTAGTTTGGCTCTTAGATTTCAAACTTGTGTTTATCAAGCCCTTTGGTGCAAATGTCTACTAATTGGTCATTTGTACTACAATGCTTTACCTTTATCTTATTGTTTTTGATAGCTTCTTTGATAGCATGGTATTTGACCTGAATCTGTTTGGTCCTTCCATGTTATACAGTGTTATGAGCAATTTGCAATAGCTGATTGACTATTTAACTAGAGGATAGTAGGCTCTTGTATATTGAATTTCAGATCCGATAAAATTTTTCTAAGCCACAAGGCTTGATTGCTTACTAATGTAGTAGCTATATACTTTGCTTTTGTAGAAGATTGAGCAACAATATCTTGCTTTTTGAGTCTTGGGAGAAGATTGCACTGCCAAAGGAAAAATAGCTCCCACTGGTACTTATTGAGTCTTCTAAGCTTCCAGTCTAATGATTATTTGAACACCTTTCAAGCTTTATACTCTCAGCTTTATAGAACTTAAGACCAAGGCTTAAAGTTCCTTTCACATACCTGAGTATTCTTTTGGTTGCTGTCAAGTGAATATCAGAGGGTGCTTACATGAAATGTGAGAAAAGGCTAATAGCAAACATGATGGCAAGCCTTGTTGCTGAAAGATATAGTAAACCACCGACCAGCCTCCTATACTGAGTAACATCAACCTTAGCACCTTTATCTTTCTTAATAATTTTGATTCCAATCACTAGAGGAGTAAGTACAGGTTTAGATTTCTCTATTCTAAAATTTTTTACTAGCTCACCTATATATTTCTTCTGATATAGGAATATAACATCTGAGGTTTGAATGATTTATAGTTCTAAGAAGTATGACCTTACTCTTAGATCACTCATTTCAAACTCATCCTTCATTTTAGCTTTAAAATCAGTTGAGTGTTCACTACTAGGTTTTGTGATGAGAAAATCATTTACATAGACTGACACAATCAACTGAATACTATCATCAGAACTTTTCACGTATAATTTATGTTCGCTTTCAGTTCTAGTGAAGCCTTAACTTTACAAGTAGTTATCCATTTTTTCATACCAAGCCCATGAGGCTTATTTGAGTCCATACAGTGCCTTAATAAGCTTACATATCTTACCTTTTTTGTCAATTTGAGCAAAACCTTCAGGCTACCCCACATAAATATCTTTTTCAATAGTCTTATTTAAAAAAGAAAATTTGATGTCCAAATGCAAAATCTACCATCTTTTACTAGCAACAAGTGCCACTAGTAGCTTGATGGTATCATGCCTAGCTATAAGAGTGAAAGTTTCAAAAAAATCAACAACATATACCTGTTAAAACCCTTTGACTACCTATCTAGCTTTTTGCTTGTTAATCGAATGATGATAATTGAGTTTGGTCCTATACACGCACTTAACTCCAATAACTTTCTAATTCTTTGGTCCATCAACTAAAGTCATGGTGTTGTTCTTCTTTATCATTATCATTTTAGCCTTCATTGCCTGCTTATAGTGCTCATTTGAAGTAGCTTCCAAACAACAACTTGGTTCGGTGATGGCTACATGGCATCTATGATACACATCTTGAAGTGATGGTGTTTCTCTGACAGGAACTTCATTAACATTTTTATCAAGTGCCATGTCTTCTTCAGTATCAGACATAACATTTGCTATAACATCTTTGTTTAAAACAGCTTCAACTATACTAGTGTTCTAATTCCATTTAGCATTCTCATCAAATCTGACATCCTTGCTAACAATCAGCTTCCTTGTCTTGACATATAGTAACTTGTAGCCTTTTAAGACCCCATTATAGTCAAGATGAACTGCAATCATAGATTTTTCATCAAGCTTGCTTCTCTTGGCATCCGGTATCTTGGCATCACAGACACAATCAAAAACTCTAAGATGAGTTACAATAGGTTTGATAGCAAGCCAGGCTTCAAAAAGAGAAAAAAACATTTTATGGGGAAAAAGACTATTCGTCATATATTAAAAATAACTACTAAAAGAGCCTTTTATACCAAGGCTTTTACAAGGAAGAGAAAACATTTCCATATGGTGCTACAACATTCACACTCTCCAAAGTAGTAACAAACCATAGGTCTTTTTACATTAGGAATTTTTGCAATCCCAATGCACTAACAGATTGTTAAAACTAACAAAAAATGACAAGAATAAAAAAAATAAGTAGCAATATGAGTAGCATAGATATTACACGCTGAGATTTTAATAAACTGCACATTATGACTCCAAGATGTTACACACCATGGCTCTAAAATGTTGCAAGCTATGGCAACAAGATGTTACATGCCAAAACTTCAAAATGTTACGTGCCATGGCTCCAAGATGTTACAAGCTGTTAGTTGTTACACACCATGGTTGCAAAATGTTACACGTCGTGGCTACAATAAGCTTCCATCTTCAATAGTCTCAATGTCACAAGAAACTTGGAAACTAATAGTGTCATAATACTAATACCTTATTTTCTCTTCAACCTCAAGTATACTAATACCATACTCATACCATATTTTCCCACTTACAATATTATCATAGTTCTAGTGCCATGTATTCACCATTTTTTTTTTTGCCAATGCCTACAAGTACTTTTTTCCTCTTTCTTACACTTTGTCTTATCATTATTTTACTCATAAACATTTTTTTTTCTTAATTCTTTATTCGCTACTTGTGAACCTCACACTTTTAATGAAGCATTTAAGTTTCTCAAATAGAGAAGTGCCATGCATAAGGAGGTCAAAGCTCTTGAGGTTAATCAAACATGGTTTTTGTTAGTCCTAATGGAGTGTTAGAAGGTGAATAGTACTTTTAAAAAAATTTGAAGGAAACTCTTAAGGTTGACAAACTTTTAAAATATTTTGACAAAGAAAGTTTAAAACTTGTGAAGGCAAAAAGACATCAAGTAAAGAAAAGGTAAAGAGAAGTGGAAAAAATACAAATATTTATAGTGGTTTGATCCCATTGACCTACATCTTCTACCTTGATCTTCTAATCAAGAATTTTTAACCCAATTCCAATAAACCAATGGAATTAACAGCTTTTACCATACTTTTCCCAAGTGAGCTCTTAACTCAAGCAAAAAACTCTTATAAAATTCTCCAAGCTTTCTTAAGCTTAGTCTACTCTTAGAGTATCTCTCACACTCTAAGTAAGCAACTAATACAAAGAAGATAGAGTACAATTGATCATCCAGATGATTTAGGATGCACAAAGTTAAGTTCAAAGCTCTCTTTTACGAAGATAAGAGGGAAGCATAATAAAAAGAAAACTCTAAGACCCTTCTAAGCTCAATTCTTGCTCTTGGATGGTTTTCTCTTGCATTTATGATTGTTTAAAGCCTTTTTTATGCTTGAAGGATGATTTCTAGCAATTAAAGATAGTTTAGAAGAAATCTATTGATTATTTTGTCCTTTAGCGATTTTTTTGAATCTAGTCAACTAGCCTATTTAATTGATTAAAGTCTTTTTGCTTGTCTCTTTGTTTTTCATGTTGATCAATTAATCTTGGCTTTAACCAATTAAAACTTCCCTATATTCTCTTTAATCAATTAATCTACTCTTTAACTGATTAAAGTTTTCTTGAATCTCTAACGATCATCTTGTAATCGATTAATTTGAACCTTATGTTAATCGATTAATATTCACATTGAAGCTCTAAAATGCTTTCTATTGCTACTTTAGTCATTTAAACCTTATGGTTAATCAATTAAAGTGTTCCATGAAGCTTTAAATCCTTTTACAAGCTTATTAATTGATTAAATCGTGGTGTTAATCGATTAAACTTGTTCCTTAAGCCCCATATCTCTTCCAATACGTCTTTAATCGATTAATCCTTGTGTGCATCAATTAAAGGCTTCTTTGAAATTTTGAATTCTTTCTTTTAGGCTTGATTGATTGATTAAACTGATATGTTAGTCAATTAAACCTTTGAAAATGTCCTTTAACTTGCTTTAATCACTATCTTGAGACTTGAAACATATTAACAAATTACAACTTTACTCCTACACACTCAAGTAACATAGTTAGATTTAAAGAATGGGGAATGTTTTATTATCATAAAAAACATATAGAGTCAACGGTCTTTAGTTCCTTTGTCTGATGGTAAGATAGCTATTGGTTCTAAATGGATCTTTAAAATTAAAAGACACTCTAATAGCACCATAAAACAATGTAAAGCTCATTTGGTTGCTGAAGGCTGCACCTATTGTAAAACTTGTCACAATTCGTGTGTTACTCACTATTGTTACTACATGACATTGGCTTTTTCATTAGTTAGATGTTCAAGATACCTTTCTTCATGGTGATTAACATAAGAAATTTTATATGTAACTACCTCCTCGGTATTGATTTAAGGAGGAGAATCTTGTTTCTCGTCTTCACAAGTCCTTAGATGGACTTAAGCAAGCTTCTATGTATGATGCTTGCTTTGTCTCATCCCGCGCTAATCACTCATTATTCTATATGTATCAAGGTACATCTTTTGTATTTGTGCTCCTATATGTTGACGACATGGTTATTACTGGCAATGACAAATTTGCTATTGAGATTTTTAAACTTATTTCCATACTCATTTTTGAATTAATGATCTTGGTGCCTAGAAATATTTCCTTAACATAAAAGTTGTTTGTCCTTCAAATGACTTATATTTAACATAGAGGAAATACACATTTTATATTCTTAAGGATTATGGTTTTCTAGGTTTTAAAATTGCTGAATTTCTTATGGAACAAAGCTTGAGGCTTACTGATTTTGTTGGAAAACAACTACAGGATCCTTCTTAGTATAGGTGCCTCATTGGTCGATTAATTTATCTCACTATTAGGCTTGATATTGCTTATTTAGTGCACATTCGAATCAGTTCATGCATATTACACATAAACCTCATTTGGATGCAACCTATCTTCTCCTTCATTATTTGAAAATTTCTCCTAAGCAAGGCCATTTCCTTTCAGCCGATAATTCTCTCTAATTATTTGCATTTATATTCCAATTGGGTAATTGTCCAATGATTCATCGTTTGATAACTAGCTATTGTATCTTTCTTGGTCTTAGTCCCATTTCTTGATAGAGCATTACTCTTTTATAAAAGCTTAGGTGGCGTTTAGTAATTTAATCTATTTTTTTAAGTAAAAATAAAAACACTGTTTCTATTTTTAAAAAAAGAAATAAAACACGTTTGGTAAAATTCTTGTTACAAGAAACTTTTTAAAATAAAAACATGCAAAACATACTTGGTAATATCATATATTTGTTTTTGTTATATACTAACTTCAAAAAATATAGCAAAATAAAAAACAATTAAGTCATATAAATCATCCAATATGCAAAATACCATTCGTATAATTGTTTTTCAAAGTGCAAAACTTGAACTAAGAGGTAAGAATACAATCAAAGACATAAGATTCAAAGAAAAAAGTGATAATTAGAACAATGACTTTAAAAAATAACATTAAAACCAATCATCTACCATGAACACTTGCCTAAATTTGGTTCACAATCTCATCTCTCACACGGGCCATTCGGCAAAGTTGACCATGAGTTATATCAATGTCAATGAGCCAGACAAAGAGAGAGGACAAGAGAAGGAAAAAGAAACTCGTCTGAGGTGGATCATATATGAAGAAACTTGCCTAAGGTGGAAAAGCAAACGGATCAGACATAAAAACAAAAAAGGATTTAGTGTGTGGTTATTAGAAGAGAGAGAGAAACAAAGAAAAAAAAACAAGAGAAAGGTGGTTTGGTGTTGGTCTAATTGGAAATGAGGTAATTCAGTGTATTTTTTAAAAAAAGCAAAAAAAAAAATGCAAAACACTTTCTTGTGTCTGTGTTTTTTGTAGCAAATTTCAAAAACATTTTGACAAAGAAAAAATAAAAACAGGGTTACCAAATATTGTTTTTGTTAATGTTTCCATAATTATGCAAACAAAAACAAAAAAAACAACAAACACCTGTATTATCAAACGGGACCTTAATATCATCCATAACAATGATTACTTATAAAATTATTTGATTGAAATCTTTATTGAAAGATTTTGGTAATTTTTTGTCCAATCTCTTTATTTTGATTATCAATGCTGTTCGTGAGAAACTAAAAGCTGGCTTCCATTTTAATGATTCCATTTTCACCTAGTTGTTGACTTACGCACTCAAACCTCTTTGGCAATGAACGTTTTTCTTTTTTTACACGCTAAGTTGGGCATTCAGAATTTTCATGCTCTAACTTAAGAGAGAGTATTCAAGCAATATTTTCTCTTTATTAGATCTTAGTATATTGTTACATTTATTGCAATATATTTTCTATATATGATTAGTCAAACACTTTTATGTATATACTTGACTTTTTAATCAATACAAAATAAAACAATTTAGTCCCAATCACATTTTCTTAATGTATATATTGACACCCCGGTTTAGTTCTTTCTATGTCCAATTGAAGTTCCCAGTGACGGCAGCTCAGTAGAAAAATTCTATTAGGATCTATATATAAATAATTCATCATGCTATTAAGAATCCTAAAGATTGGAGAAATAAATCTGTTAATTTTTGCATGCAGTATTCTTGAAGAAATGAACACGGTGAGGTTGGTAAATGTAATGTTTGGCATATTTCATGGCATAGTTTAAGGAATCGAATAAATTAGAGAATTTATTCTGATGAGCTACCAAAAGAAGTAAAATTTTTGGGGATGCCACATATATATTGATAAAAGGAGGATGGTGGGTGAAATGATTTATGACTTTGTGAAATGATTCCAAAAACCTGTGTTACTATCGGCAACCAACTTCATGCTTTATCGTTTCTTTTCTGCTATCATGCGGTCCTCCGACAGATTAAACACCAGTTTTAGCACTTTCTGGTCTGTAATTTGACAGGATAGTCAAAGACAGCCTTGTAAACTCGGGAGTACCATTCGTTTGAGACGCTTGGAGTTATCTTATCACCCACCACAAAAAGTGACCTCCAAGTCCTCTTTGGACCATAATCCCGAATATTTCAGTGTCATTGATACAAGCATATCTAACTACAATTAAATTAATTATGATGCATTTGATTGGATAGGTTGACACATTTCAACGAAACCATAGCTTAAAAAGCTCCTATACCATTAAAGCCTTTGCGTTCTCGGTAAGCAATAATGTATCAAGTTGAATGCGAATCCTGAGAGGAGAAGGGACAGAGCGCTCAGAAAAACCTCAAATTTCGCAATGCTTTGGGGTCCATTACGCCAGGCTTTTATCCATCGACCCATCAGTCGTGACTTGTCTCTTCTTGGTCCCCGCATGACAGCCCGTGAGTAACTGTCCCTGTAGTCAGAAACGTAGCCAATGGGTGCCCACTGAAATATATAACTTGCAGAGTAGAATAACATGCCCCGTAAGAGCAGAAACAATTCTGATGAGGTTACGCAACAGAAACAAAAAGACTATTAGTCTATGAGATTATCATACAATGTGGAAACTAAATAAACCAAAATATGAAACATGGAGTACATGTTTTTATGACTATGACGACATCCCCTGGCCCATACAACAAATATTTACAATGCACCCCACCCAACAGAACCACGCCCTTCCATAGCCATGAACTAAGCACCATCGCTATGGCGATGGTGCTCACACTCTACAGGCATGACAGGAAACCTAGCAGTATCACTACAATAGTCATAGACCAAGTGGTTGGCCCTGACCCACAAGAGTTGGTGGCTCTGGTGCAAACTTAACTCGGACATTGTAGGCTCATCCCACCAGAACCTCTTCTGTCCACTGCTGCTACATTTCTTAGCATTCTCATCTGCCGCCACCGACACTGGGCACTCGCATGCGTCTATTTTGAAGCCTTTGTAGGAGGCAACGAATGGTGCATGGCTCCAATCAGTCTTGACAAGGCCACCCTGCGTGGCCCAGTCATCAGCGTTCCATATCGAGCTGTATACGCCCATGGCTTGATCTTTAGGAAAGGGAATTCCTTTGTGTTCCATGTTTGTGTGCACTCTTATTGGGGTCTCATCCACTAGAAATCTGAATAAAGAAAACAAGGATATATCAGAACAATTTCAAGCACCAAGAATATAATACAGAAGCAAACGATCAAGCAATGCCAAAAACCAAAAGGCACAGAAATCTATATATACCTACCAACCTGGCAATAAGTACATTCATATTTTAAAATAAAATAATCATTAATGCCTTTTTCCAAAAAGAATGGAACCTTTGGTGCTGTAACACAAATCTTTAGGAAATCCTAGACTCCATATTTAATCAATTATAAATCATCGATATCAAGATTGGCAAATACCAAGATGAATCTGACTATGCCACTGCCACAACAACCAAAACCCACCCACACAACACAGAAAGCAGAAGAAATTCACCGAGATCGCCTGTGCAGTGAATGGAACTATTACAATCCGAGGGCCAAGGCTATGACAAGAAATTAAAAATAGTAAAGAGTATACATCTGTCTGCATCTTTATTACATCAATCAAGAATCGGTCCCCTTGTTTCCATTACTTTCGTTTTTTGTGCAGTTTTGCAAACCAGAGTCAGTCTAGCTCATTTGGCACAAATGAGACCCCGCATAGTATAGCTTACTCAGCACAAGACAACGCAAATTTTATCATTTCTTTACAGCTTTTCGTGACAAATTGACAATCAAAACGTACAAAATTACAGACATATACGCATAACATTGTATACAAGCACTTTTCATAGAAAACATTGTGTATAAGTAAATGATACTTAAAACAACACTTACAGAACTTGGCGCTCGTTCCAACGGATGGAGTACGAGTGGAAGTCCTTGGTGGGGTCATACCAAAGGCTCATCCTTTGCTCCCTGTTGCCTACACCATTCACGTAAACATTGGTCTGAACAAGGTAGGGTTCACCTGTGGTATTGCCTAGGAACTCGAAATCAAACTCATTATGATTTGGACCGTCCGATGACATCTGCGTCAAACAAACATCAAAGCAGATGTCAATAACACGAAAATAAATGATGAGTTGATCAGTGTCTGAATGTGACATGTGAGTCAGAATTACCAAATCAAACCAATTAAGATGCTAATTGAAGTCAATGACATGAGGAAAAAAGGCTTATTCACTACAAATCATTGTTTTCACAGATCATGGTGGGGACAAGGCTAAATAAATGTAAAATGAATTGACTTTAAAGTGATTCACAAGTGTGTAAAGAGAGGGTAGCTGCAATTAGTACTAGCCTCGACATAAGAAAAGAAAAGGCCAAGTTTTGATTGTCTGCAACTGGAAAATATTGTTCATTACAATATGCAAATTATGGCGAATTATTATTGAATGGGGACCCATGTCATGATTCAGGAATTACCCAGCTGAGCTGTTATCCACCTTATGTGCGTATAAAGGTTACTAAAAGGCTGAATGCAGAACAGACTCATAAAAAAGAGAAGACAAACACTTTTTCTTTGGGAGGTAAATTGTGTAATATAATATACTCACATAGTAAGCAGTGACAGTCCCAGCAGAGTCACCCTCGACAAGCTTAATCTGCATGGTTACTTCTCCAAACAAGTACTTGCTCTTTGATGCAAACCCAGCACCTGGAATCACCAACCCACCATTTCATTAATATATAAGTTGATAAAAGGAAAAAATACAATTAATAGTATAGCAGATACCGATTTTTCAGAAGGATAACACAAAAACAGCTGAATGGACAGCATAATACAGAAAAAAAAATTAGAGTTTGCAGTGATTGTTTTCAAAGGAAAACAGTGATTCTTGAGTTTGTGAAACGAGGGTCAATGGTATTGTTCCAGAAAAGTACACAAGCTTTGAGCTTGATGGAGGTTTTAATGGGACAAAATGCTGAAAACTGAAAAGTTGCCCTATTTTTTTGGTAAAGAAAACGGTGATATTTACCAGAATAGTTATCAAGTTTGAGTCTAAGGAGGTCTCCTTCATAGATGAAGTGATCCATAGCCCAACCAGGTTGGAAAAGCTCATCAAACTTAGCTGAGCTTGCCAAACTTAGCACCATAAGACCCACAAAGAAACCCAAAGCCACAGACATTTTAAACAAGACAGCCATGGGAGTGAGAAAGCACTAGACAGATGCAAAGAGAAGAGGGGAGACAGCAGTAAGTAGGATAGAGAGCTTAGTGAAGCTTCTACTCTGAAAATACTCTGTAGAGACTCTCTACGCACAAGCAAGACTGGCTCATTTTATAGCCAAAACTTCCATTGGCTTGTTTCACAAGCTGCAGATGGGACAGCGGGGCAGTGTCCCCACTTAATGACTAATTCCACTGGCCACATGACATGCCACGTCACCCGAATTCATTTTAGCCACGTGAGATATTTAAAACAACAAGAAAAATGACAAGTAATCCGAAAATTAAAAGAATGTAGCCGTTGCTCTGCCATTGCCCATTTCCACCCGACCCTTATCTGGACCAAAGCTGGGGACTGTGTGGGGGCACTAAGTTGGACATGTCTCTGTTCCAAAGGGCTGGTACACAGATTTTACGCAATGGCATGAAGCCACGTGGACAATACAGCTGTTTTTCTTAGCTGTCCAGTTGTCACTGGCAGAGTGAGATAAAAAGCTCCCTATTTTGCTCGGAGTCTCTGGCCCAAAACAAATAGATACCTACTCGCCTGTTTGCCGTAATGAAATGCACTCGCTGGGTTATGTTGACACGTATGGCCGATTAGAGGGAGAATGTGTGGTGAAGTAGGGAATAAGAGTCGTGGGACAATGTCACTGTCTTCTTTGTTTTTTGTTTTACTTTGCTGAGGTGAGGTCAGTGCCAGCTGGACAGTACAGGCGCACTGTATATCTCCATATCTTTAAATATTAAGGTGGGGGAATTTAATTCCAAGGAAATGCTAATTTTTTGAAGCCTTGATATGTGTGCCAATTTGTTTTTTAATTTTGAGGAATTTTTCCATTACTAACATTAGACATTAGTTTAATATAATGAAATAAAGAAATGAAACACAACAGTGATAGATTTGGTCATATATCTATATAATTTGGAATTTGGTTAAGTAAACGTTGGCAGATATTTGGGATGGGCATTATGACATTAAGTGGGGATCCAAGATTTCCTAACAACTACTAGAAAAAGTGATATCAATAAATTTCGTTTTTATTTGACTTTTGTCTTTATTCTTTCAAGTGATGTTAACCTTCTTTAGGGGACAGGGGCCTAAAATCAAGTGTGGTTCACTTCATAGAGGCGTTAAGACTTAAGAGCTTCCATAATTGAAAACATTTGTAGTAATGCCATTCTGGTCATTTTTGTATTTTAGGTGTAGCTTCTATTCTTGTCATTAATATAAGCACCTCAGCTGTAGTGTGAGATGCATATGCAAATTGAGTCAATTTCCATCAACTTACTATTAAAAATATCACACAACATTGATCATCTTTTCTTCTGAGGCATGATTAGTAACACTAGTATTATGTTTTTGTTAGGTGAATGGTCAACGTGGTATGAATAAAGCCATAAAAGGGCAGAAATCGGGTAGGCTGCTTAGCTGTTGCTTACAAATTTAAATCTGACGGGCTTTGGGTAATGATGCTAATGAACAAAAGAAAAAAGAGAGATTAGTACTATGAACCTGGGGTAGAGTTGAGTTGATTTGATCGGATTAAAAAAGCAAGGAATGGTCTTTTTCCATCTCTTTTTTCCCTAAGGTGTGACCCTTTCTCCCAAATTGAGTACACTGCCAATGTTTTCTTGACGAACTCTCTTCGCTGTAACAACACTAACCAAATGCAAATGACAAAGATGGCTCTTGGGAGCTGCATGGTTCATCGGTCGCATGATGGTACGGCCACCTTTACCGAGTAAAATGAGGCAAGGGTCCGCCATTATCCCAGCTCCAAAAAGTACCATGCTGACTCTGCAATCTCAGAGAGCTTCTGACAGTCCAATTACGAAGCTCCGCGTGGCAAGATATTTTGGGGAAAATGGCTGTACTAATCAGTACGTACAGTCTACGGTTGGAAAGAGGTAGAGCTGGAAGGTGATAAACATTTAAAGGGCAGCCTTTATGGCTTCAAACAGGCGATTGGTGATTGACGTTTAAATGGATGAATAGATGTTAATACGAACGACGATTGCTCGCAGATAAGGGTCCCTCGATCTTATCTTTAGAGATGGGTCTGAAATGATAACCTGCTCCACTAGCTACTATTACAGTGTCAGTACTATCTTCTTTCGTGTTTGCAGTACAAAGGCTAGCAGAGCTATTGAACACCTATCTAAACAGCCATCTTGCACTTGCTCAACATTTTTGATCTGGGATAACCTTAATATAACAGTAGGATACAATCCCGTTTACTTACATTTGATCATCACATTCACGCACCACGAACTCTGGTAAAAGGTTTTCATTTCAAATTCTACTTCAAAAGCTACTATAATTTTTTCTAGTTGTTTACTCTCCTATTTTAACTCGTTTGTTTTTTGCGAATTTTTCTTGCAATTCATCTTAGGTGGATTGAGAATAAATAGCCCCAGACTATAAAGTAATTGTAAAAGCACCTACAGACTCAAATGATTATTATTCTTACGTTGAAATTTAGTACCGATAATGACTCCATGAACCCAATGATTGATGCCTTTCGTGAATGACAATGGTGAATAAAGCAGCCTTAATTAAACCACGTTCAAGAATGTTAATACCGCTACTTTTCTTCCACTTTCCACTTCAAAGTTTTTGAACAAAATCAAAGTATTACCTTTTTATTAGATCTATCCCTTAGTCGACTCATCAACTTTGCTTCAATCTATGAATTAGGTTGATTTTAATGAATATATTGATAAAAGTAACCTAAGAACCAAGTTTCATAATCTCTTCAACTGTCACGTAACTAAAAATATAAAAAATATTTACAATGCTATATAGGTATGAGTTTTTTTTAAAAAATAGACCTAATGTATAAGACATTTTTTTTAATAATTTTTTTATAATTTTAATTAGTTTTAGCTAAAAGAATTAACATTTGAACAAAATTACGTTAAATAAAATCGATCTATTTGTTTGACTCCATACCTTAACCTGAAATCTATTAATGGGTTAAATATGTTTATGTTTGTGCCTTAAATCAACTCATATTCTTTTAGCTTTCCTTACTAGGCCATTCATTTTTGAAGTATTCCTTAATAAAAAGAAAAACGTTTAAGCTTTTGAAGCATTTTGGAATAATTTTTAATACACGAAAAGAATTTTTGAACATTTTAAGCATTTTTAAACATTTTGGAGTAATTTTTTATATATGAAAAAAAACTTTTAAATATTTTGAGTATTTTTTGTCAAATAGGTATATTCGTTAACTATATTATTAAATGAAATATGGTATATAGTTTGAAATTATTGATTTTATTAAATAAAATTCAGTAATTTTAGTGATTTTTATGCATTGCATAATTGATTTTGGGTATGGTGATGACTTCTCATCTCATTATTAAATTTTATATCTAAAAACATTTGTTAAGTAAATAAGGATAAAATACTATAATTTTTTAAATTTTGATTAAAATTATATAAAAAATTATTAATTTTTAAAATAAACATTTTATCCTAAAACTACAAATACTGTTAATAAAAATAATAAAAAATAAAATATTTTTTATTAATTTAAAAATTATTATTATATTTAAAAAAAATAAAAAGCACCAATTGGTTTTCCGTAACCTCCCAAGAAAGGGGAGCATTGGTCGGTGCTCCCAAAGCAGGGGAGCACTAATCGAGGCTCCCTAGGGGCAGCGACGAACTTAAAATTCCTTTTCGTGGTGTCATAATTAAAATAATTATAATAATAATTAAAAAATATAAATATATTTAAAATCATAAATAAAAAATTTTAATATTAAATTAAAAAATTATAAATTTAGTATATTCATTTAATATTTAAAAATAAAAATATTTAAAATGACTATAATTGTTTACAATTATTTTTCATATTTTGAAAATGGTGTATGATATTATTAATAGAAATATTATCAAATTCATCTTTTTGAATATACGTCACAAAGCAATCATTCATCCAAAATTACTACTCGTTAGCATAAACTAAGATACTAGAATTAAATAAACTATGATTTTACATAATAAATTATCAAATTCAATAACTAATAATATGATAATTTTCTATTTATTAATCAAAACTAAATACAAGCATTTTCAAATCACATAAAGTTAAATACAAAAATCAAATAATTAAACAATCTATCTACAAAATAAATAAAAAACATAATTTCAATATATTATTTGACATGCAATATTATTTTTTACTAGCTAGATTATAATCATGAACCCAAACTATAAAATTAATCAAAAAATATTTAGACATAAAATATTTAAAAGCTTAATTTTAGTTAAAAATTACTTACAATTGAAACCTAGATAAGTTACTTTAAGAGTAAAAAACATAAGCAAGGATCGAAAAAAGGAATGATTTGAATTTTTGGATAAGAAAAGTAGTTTAGGTTTTGGTTTCTTAATAAAATCTTAAATTATAGAAGGAAGTTTTTTTCCTTTTTCATGTAGTATTAAATTATAAAATATAAATTACTTTTTCATGAATCCCTTTTATTTGAAGTTATTGACCCCATTTCTTATAAAATTATAAAAAAAATAAAGTCATTTGTATATTAATTGCCCTAAACTATAAATAAATATTATAAAAATTAAAGTTTTTAGAAACACCATTCTCTTGTTCATGGGTCCGCCCATGCGAAGGGGAGCTTCGGAAAATAGAGTAGTTTTTTTTAATTAATAAAAAATAATTAAAAAATAAAATTATATACTTATAATTATAAAAATTAATTACGAGTAAAATTGGTTTTCTATTCTTATTATGTTAGTAAGTTGATAAAAATATTAATAGTTGATTAATAACTTGATCTAGGTGTCTAACAAAATTTTTTTTTGAGATAGAGTATTTATTTTAAAAATTAATAAATTTTTTATGATTTTAACCAAAATTTAAGATTTTGATTCAATAAACAAATATTATAATAAAAAACTGTTGCATATACTAATACATGTCCTACGGGTACAAATCTATGCACTGAATCAAAAAACCTAAATACTTTGGCAGTTTGGTGACGTGTCAGGAGACGATTGGTTTGGCTGTGGCGGAGTAGGGACAAGGGAGTAAGTGGCACAGCGTGCACACGTGAAATAC